CTCTCTCTCTCTCTCTCTCTCTTTCTCTCTCTCTCTCTCTCTCTCTCTCTCTCTCTCTCTCTCTCTCTCTCTCTCTCTCTCTCTCTCTCTCTCGCGCCCTGCGGTTATTTGCACGTGGATACTGAAAGTGGATACTGAAAAGTGATTATATAAAAAAAATCCCTTGTTTTCACGTAACAATTTTGGCGTTCTGGCTCGAATAGCAATATTGGCGCAAATTGAAAACGCGCACACACGTGTTTGAGACTAGCCGCCGTGACTACGACATGAGATTGTGTCAACACTACATGTACACGTACATGCACCGTCTTCCTTCTGCGCACACTCCACGCGGGTCTCGCTGCGCGCGTACAATTACATTGGCTCAGACGAAGAAGATGGAAAGCTGAGATGAATAAATAACACGTAGCTATCTCATCCGATGATTCTAAGCATATGTGCGTACGTGTGCGCGTACGTGCGACTTACGATGCCTGCGCGCGCGATGTATCTGTATGTCGATCGGCCTATCTGTAGGTCTGCCTGTCTGTCTGTGCGCGTGCGTGCGTGCGTGCGTGCGTGCGTGCGTGCGTGTGTGTGTGTGTGCGTGCGTGCGTGCGTGCGTGCGTGCGTGCGTGCGTGCGTTCGTACGAGATACATGCCTACAAGGCCATCTGATAATTTACGCTGCCGCATTTGGTCGAATGTAACTGCAAGTTTGCAGTGCAATTCTAGGGCTATTCAAACACGAATAATCGCGTTTTTATGTGCCTAGAATCTAGCTATAGTTCGAGTTTTTTTTACAATGAATAATGCATTACACTATATATTCATACTATGTTACATATAATTCTCACTTGGCATCGAGTTTCTACTCGCTACGTATTACAGTTGTAAAGTTCCACGATTTCCACAACTAATCACATTTCCCCATACGTTATATTTTACACTATTCTTCGATGAAAATTCCTGTTCCTCATTTTCATAGCTATGTTTGTTTTTATTACAGTCGCTGGACAGCACGAGGCGGATGCTGGCGATGTGCGATGAGGTATGTTACATAATTACAAGACTTCATCGGTCTGTATATTAGAACTATTATCGGTCTATTATCAGTCTATATATCGGTCTACTATAATAGGATGCAAATATTCACAAATTCCGAGTTTTCGGCTTGTGTGTTTACTCATTATAACTCGATTTCCTCATCGCCGCTTTTTTACCCTTTCTACGTAGTTTGCATTGAAAATTATCGCCATTCAGCTGCTTGTTTGTTCCTTTTGTGTTGCTATATGCATTATCTGTGTTTACTCAATTAAATACGTTGTTTTAGGATGTTAATTGTGTCACTAACATCATGGCTATCATCCCGAGATAACGAGCCCATATATTGTCGAATTATCTATGATATAGTCTTAGTAATTTTCGATTTATTACCATATAGTCTTGCCATATAGTTATATATTATTATATTTATTATATATATATATTTATATATTATATATTATCGAAGGTCGGAATGCAATTAAATGATTAATATATACAGGCTGGTGACGTAGGACTGAGTAGTCCGAACTACGGTGTTCTATAGTAGTAGACCCGAGTAGACTGAATATTTGGCCACGTTGGCTTTGTGAGACAGAGAAACTGCATAGCTGCGATCGTGGATCGACCGTATTGCATGATAAAATTAAGCGGGACGAATTTCTAAACGTAGCCTTCTTTCTACACTACGCAGGCCTGTCTATGAGGCAAGTCGAGCAGCGTTTAAGTGGGATTCATATTAATATCGATGTTAATATCGGTCACCTTGCCGCTGCATTTAAAATATCCCCAGCAGCAAAATTACCAGATGCAAATCGCCACAGTGGCGCTAGTAGAAGTTTTTTCCGTCGGCCCCATATACAATATACATATTGTATGCAAAAATGCAGACGCGTTTTGGTCTCGGTGAAAAAAGGGATGCGGTCCATGCATTAGTCGTTGATTGCTCACGCATGCATTATTTCGCGTAGATTGAATTTGCAGGCACGTTTTCGGATGTAGTAGTCAGGTTGCAGGGTTAGCGATCCCGCGCGAGTACATAGCATTCAATTTTCGACGCCGTTGCAATATTCAGACGTCGGGCTTTATGATTATATTTAATAATCGTGTAAGAAAATGTGCAGCCTAGCCGGCCGCGGCGTTGTCCCTACAGACAGCGACTGAAATAGAAAGCCGTATTTCAAATTATACTTCTCACCAGTTCGTATCGCGAAGACATCGCGGAATCTGGAGGGATTTCCATAAAGACGCCTCCTGGCTTTGAACTTGGCAGCGAAATCGCTGCTTTTACAGTTTCCATAGATGTAAATAGCTCATGAGTTGCACAACCCCTAACGCTCCGATCCTGTAACCTTCCCCTGACCTCCTCGCCGCAACTCCCGACCCCCGGTCCCGGCCCGAAACCCATCCTTTCTCCTGAACATACGCCTCCTCCCTCCCTAACGTCCGTCTCCTCCCTCCCTAACCTCCTACTCCTCCCTCTCTAACCTGCGTCTCCTCCCTCCCTAACCTCCGCCTCCTCCCTCCCTAACCTCCGCCTCCTCCCTCCCTAACCTCCGTCTCCTCCCTCCCTAACCTCCGCCTCCTCCCTCCCTAACCTCCGCCTCCTCCCTCCCTAACCTCCGCCTCCTCTCTCCCTAATCCCCGCCTCTTCCCTCCCTAACCTCCGCCTCCTCCCTCCCTAACATACGCCTCCTCTCTCCCTAATCCCCGTCTCCTCCCTCCCTAACCTCC